GACTAATTCCCAGTTGAATTCAATGTAACTGAGGTTCAAACCCAGCCTAAACATACTTTTTTATAGAATGGTTTCTGTACAGCCTCTAAAACAAACCATGCTGAAATAGATGTTTCAGTTTCAGATTGTGACTACACTGTCCACTCTTTATAATGCCGTCTGCTGCCATAGTGCCCCTCTGTAGCATTTTTATGTGTGCATACATTTGCATGATCCACCCGTGCACTCAGAGCCAGCGGAGCACGCAGCTTGCACACTACATACAGTAATACATTGCTGAATATCAAAGGAAATTACCCTTCACCTCAGTGCACGGATCTTAGCGAGTTCCTTAACCAGAGGAATGGGCTTTGAACCAGGCAGATTCCCCCAGGGCCCGTATCCAAGCCCCTCCCCGGAACGCTGTACCGGATAAGGCCCGTAATTCCCACTTTTAGGTTTCCATTAATCTGATCCTGACACAGGGGAGACGGGCTGCTTTGCATATCGCCTCCCCAAGATGGAGGGCTATTTACATGATCGCCTCCAGATTGAATATGATCAGTAGCCCTCCTCCACCGTCCTCGGAAGCTGAGACAGGAAAAAAAAAAGCAAAGTCTTTTTTTTTTCATCCACTGGGTATTTGCTGCATTATCACAGATGAAATATTCTTCACTCAGGTATATTCACCGTAGCATTGCATTCAGGTAAGACTTGATGGATAAGAGTTGCAGATATTACACCTCTGCTCAGGGTTCCCTTGATGAAGTCCAATTTTTTATTTATATTTTTTATGAATGTGACAGCAGAGATAGAAAGATCGAGCCATTTATCACTGCTCACTGATAGCACTAATGTGAAGAAAACTACCCCCCCTCCTCCTGAGCCCTTCTGAACAAATGTGAGGAACACCAGTGAACAGTGCTCCATTTGAAACAGTGAACCCTCCATGTAAATGTATCTGTAATGAACGCCGTGAACAGGAGGTGCATTATTCTCTTTCTGCTACATTTATTTCTGAATATCAAATGAATGTGATAAATGTGGAGCGAGGGGGCGACGGTGGTGGGGGAGAAGG